AATATTCTCTACGAAAGGTTGCAAGTTTACACAGTATGCATAGTTGGTAAATATCAAGTTGGATTGACTCCAGAAAAATCAACAATTGACCAGATTCATTCAATAAGACAGATTCTCGAGAAAACATTAGAATTCAATATTGAAACCCATCACCTATTCGTCGACTTCAAGGCAGCATATGACAGTGTCAAGAGAACAGTGCTATACCAATCAATGCATGAGTTTGGTATACCAGAGAAACTTATCCGACTAACGAGAATGACAATGTCTAACTTAGAAGCCACTGTTAGAATACAGGGAGAGAGTTCTAGATCCTTTGAGATAAAGGATGGACTCAGACAAGTAGATGCTCTGATTTGCCTCCTATTTAATATTGCCTTAGAAAAGGCATTCCGAGATACACGAATTAGGGACGGCGGTACTATTTACAATAGATCGATACAAGTCTTAGCATATGCTGATGACATTGACATAATAGGGCGTAGCAAGCGAGATGTTGAGCAATATCTCCTAGAATTGGAAACAGCGGCGAAACAGGTCGGTCTAGTCATCAACGAAGACAAAACCAAGTACATGTTGGTTACAAAGGATCCGATAGCAAATGAGGAACGAGAAACAGTCTTTGGAAGTCATACCTTTGAACGTGTTGACAACTTCACATACCTTGGGTCGCTATTGACTGCTACCAATAAAACAAGCGAAGAAATCAAAAGACGAATAAATCTTACAAATAGAGCATACTATGGACTCCAAAAGCATTTCCACTCAAGAAACATTCAAAGAAGAACTAAAATTATTATATACAAAACATTGCTGAGGCCGGTCCTCACATATGGAGCAGAAACATAGATATTAACGCAGAAAGATGAAAGACTTTTGGGAATATTTGAGCGTAAAATACTCCGCAAAATATTTGGAGCTGTAAACGACCAAGGGCAGTGGCGCAGAAGATATAATTTTGAATTGTATCAGCTCTTTGATGAGCCAGATGTCATAACGTTCATTAAAACACAGCGACTTAGATGGGCTGGACACATAATACGAATGCCGGAAAATACCATTGCTAAAAAGCTAACCACGGGAACACCTGTAGGAACAAGAAGCAAAGGCCGACCGCGAATTAGGTGGTTAGATGGAGTAGAAACCGACTTACGAATATTAAAAATCAGAAGATGGCAACATGTTGCCAAAAACCGAACAGAATGGCGACGAATCTTAGAGCAGGCCAAGATCCACAGAGGATTGTCGAGCCAAAGATGATGATGATAAATCGGAGACTCCCATGTGTTAATATTTCTAATATTTAAAATTAAAAATAATCCATTATTGCAATATTCAGAAAGTCGAGCATAAAATCTACATCTTCTAAAAATGTGCATTTTTAAATAATAAAATTATTACTCTTATATTGTGTAAATAATTTTGACTCAGAAAAAGACTTCTTTATTGAATATTTACAATAAATAAATCCTTTGACGAACTATCAATAAAGAATTAAAATCAAAAATGCAGATCAATCAAAAATTGAAGCTCATTCGTCAATCAGAATACTAAGTTATTTTATTTTTAACTTCAACCGATCGCCCGACTGTCCGCCGTTCCGAAAGAGTCATATGTTACTTTTAGTTCTACAGTAGTCTCTTAGATCATATAATTGTCTTCGTCGACGTGAAGTGTTCGTTGTTTCTCTGTTTACGTCTACATAAAACGTAGTTTTTTTTAATCAATCATCAACTAGTTGACTTCTCAGTGAGAAACCGTAGAATCGTTAACGACAAATAAATGGTTAAATAAAACAGTTCGTTAATGCAACGCTCATTTCTACAGAACGTAACTAGTTTGGTATGCCATGCATATTGCATGGGTTAGTGGGTTGTTCTTTCATAAAGCATATTCAATAAAGACAGTGCTAGTAAAGCATTAGGAAAGATTTGGTGTTGTAGATAAAATAAGTATCTACACAATAGGACAAACATGAAGAATATCCTTAAAATGTAAGAGAGTGTATAGCATAGATTGCTAGTTACAAAATATGAGAGCTCTTACCTGTAATATAAGAAAGTCTTAACAGTAACGATTCAAAAATATATCCAAAAGTACAAAAACGATTTATTATAGAGAAAAAGAGAGAAAAGCAAATAGCATAAATAAAATCAGTACAAATACATAAAACACTAGACAAGATTCCTACTACTAAATACTACTTACTAGTTAAGTCTTTCAAAAAAATGTTTATGTGCGCTATTGTCTATCCAAGTTGTTATCACGAAGATCCTGGATCAAGAGCTGCGGAGATGTGGTAACCATGTGTCAAAGGCCACCCAGAGAACCATGCAAAACTTCTAAGACTTCTGGTGTATACAAAACAAGGCCACTACTGTATTATAATTAATATGTATCTGTGATTATAATAATATATTGCCGTTATAATAACAGCTGGACAAATCGTTGACCGGGTTCCGGTGCATTTATCCTCCACTCGCTTTCGGGAAAAATTTTTGTAAATCTTGAAAATATACATTATTTAAAGCTATTTAAAAAAAAATTTGCGGAATTTCCATTTGTTTAAATAAAAAACGACTTTGAAAATTAAAAATTTCACACTTTTTGGGCGGCCATATTGAGAGTTGACTGCGACGTTTCCAAATCTATAAAAATGTGTAGTATCGCAAGTATTCTCTATACTTTAATTTTTATGATATATTTTTTAAGGTAATACTTCTTTTTACGTAATATACATTCATAAACACTTATTACTCTGCTCATCGACTTATATGCATACTATTTTAGAATATAATGATAATCTAAATGCAGGAATTAAACATAAATACTAGATAATAATGTAAAATAAAACTGATAAATAAATTCTGTATTATATTTAACAAATTTTATAAATTACTAAAATCAATAAACTCAATTTTTAAAGAAAAAAAAATAAGTTTTCCTAAATTTTAAAGAACTGAAATTCTTATTACTCTTTATAAGTAATTCTGCTTGTTCATTGGCGGATTAATACCTCTATGGAAGGTTGTCATTCCACTTATCCCTTGCTATTTTGATGACACTGGTCTCCTTCATTCTGCGTATGTTGTTATTCCATTCTATTTTTCTATTTTGTGTTAATTCATTTATAGACTGTACGTTACATTTTTTTCGTATGTCATCACTTTAATTTAACGCAACCTGAGCTAACCCATACTAACCTAAACTAACCCAACCCAACCTAACCAAACCTCAATAAAAAACCAATTAACATAAAATATATTAGTGGGTATACTACTCCTACGGAGCAAGGCTAATCGAGACCCTACGGGAGTCACTAGGATATATAGCGGCTCATGAAGGAAAATTTACATAACTAATTAACTAACTAAATCAATCTAACCTAAGCTAATCTAATTCAACCTAATCTAAAAAATCATACCATACAAGATACCAGATATACAATATTAAGAAATTTATTTAGATGGTGGTTGAAGACATAATTTATAAGTTGTATACTGGATAATATTATTGAAAAATAATTATATGAGGGTATTTTTAAGAATTTAGCATAAGAATTAAGTTTAAGAAGTTTTTTTTATTTTATTTAATATGTTTGAGTCAGCCATGTGCATATGCAACCAAACATACACTGTAGTGTCAAAGTCAAAAAGTTATTTATTTTTGGAATGTTAATTTAGAATATAATTGTGGATGTAGAATAGTAAAAATATATTTCATATAAATGTTTAAGTTACATATAATAGTGTAGTTCTGATCTGGAGAGCCTAAAGTCAAGTAAATTGTAAATAGAAAGTTCTAGAAATGTCAATGGGACTATATGCATAATACATCACAGACAAAAAATCACAGAATTTTCAGATAGATCAAATAAAATGATTCGAACATTACTTATTGCTAGATTATTCTGGAAACAATGAAAAACATATAAAAAACCATTTGGAGGAGAAGAGAGTTATCAGTCGGTCAGTATGATCAGTTATCAGTTAGAAGTCAGTTAGTTAGTTAAGTGAGTCAGTAAAGTTATAATTCAAGAATTTAGTTACAACAAGATTATTCATTGAGTTAAGTGAGTTAGTTAGAAGAAATTAAATCAGTTACAAGATTATTATTGAGGAGTTAGTTATAACAATTCAAGGATTATTAAGTCAATTACATGTGATTATTAATTACAAAGAATGATTAACAAGAATTTATGAGGTAATGAAGAGATTATTAGCTAGAAGAAGGCATTGACTAAGTTAAATGAATTATTAAGTTAAATACAGTTGAAGATTAATTATTACTACAGTAATATAGTGACAGTTTTGAAGTTAATTCATTGAACTAAGCATTCAGTAATACAACCACAAGATCCAGTATATTTCAAAGTACATTATATGGAAATTACAAGGATTTAAATTTATATATTTATATGGTGAGTGGAGATAATTAAGAAGAAACATATTATAATAGTTGGATAACCAAGGCTTAGTAAGAAAATATCGAGTGGTGATAATAAATTAAATTTTGGAAAAACTTTAGGCTTTCAGTGAAAGAAGGTACCAAATTTTGTTAATAATTTAATAATTGTAAGAATTTCAAATTGTAGATAGATTGTTTTAAATTGATATTGCTTATATTAGATAGATAGGTTTGTTTCATAATAGTTATAATAAAGATAATTTATAAAAGTACTTAAAAACTAATTCTTTGAGAACCGCGATAAAAACCCTATACTTACATATATCATTCAAATTTACTCATAGCTCATACAGAGACAACACATCATAACAATTTATATATATATATATATATATATATATATATATATATATATATATATATATATAAACTAGTTATACCTCTGTCTAATGCAATCTACTATGTTCTTAAACGTATCATGAGCATTGCGTCCATACAATGCATCCCACATTAAATCCCTAAATTTGAATAAATAAATTATATAATTTAATTGGTAATAAACACACAGTAATTGCATTTCTTTTTAATTTCAGGTGAACAAGGCTCCTGTATTGAATTCTAATTTGGCAGTTTTTGGTGTTGCAAATTATTTTTACATTTGGCATATTATGTAGATTATCTCATTCTTATATGATCAAAATAAATATCATTAAAACATATCAAAGGTATTATTATATATTAAATATTTTAGTCAACAATTTTAAATATCATATCCCAGCGTAAATAAATATCTCAGAGAGAATGAACGAGCGTTAAGAGTACGAAATTGGGAAACCTAGCCGAAAAATTGGAAGGAATAAAAGTTGATCCTAGAATAGGCCAACATCCACTATGGGTTGTAGTATGTAGTAAATATTATTTTAAAAACGCAGATTTCTAAATATAGATAGGCAGCTTTCCCAAGGGTATAACTAATATCAAAATTTGCAAAAAATTTAAACAAGGTTTGTTCTGTTCATCTTTATAAACATGTCAGGCAACAAGAAGTATTTATTTATTTTTATTACAAAAAATGGAAAAAAAATAACGAATTTTAAAGCTTAAATTAAAATGTCATTACCATCGTCACCATCAGTTGTAAACTACGTGCTTCTTTTATAAAATTATTAAAACATTCCATTATGTTACAAGAAATGGCGTACCGTATTTTTGACAGTTTACAAGAGAACTTAATTTTGTTTGAGTTTTTTTTGTTGTTTTGAGTACTTTTTTACTTGATATCATGCTGAAGTCACACTACAGTTTTTCTTTTAAAAACCAACCAATATGATTTAAAAAGAAGATTTTTAATTCTTAGAAGGGTTTATTTCAGTCATGCATAGAACTCATTGTATTATAAGCAAACCACTTGGGTTTAAAATACTTATCATCACCAGATTTTTTATTTGTTTTTATAATTCTTTCTTTAATAAAATCGTAAAATTCTGTTTTTTATTTTGTAACGATAAGACTACCAAAGATAATACCCCAATCAACTATCAACTTATCGTGTATGCTTTGCCCAGATCAGTCTCTTAAGTGTAAATTCCTTTTGTTTTAAACTATGATTAAAACAATAAACACTTAGCTGCTAGCAAATAACACAATTATTTAACTAATCTTATTTAACAATCGTAAAATAGTTTCGAAACCCTATGAATAGATATCATATAAAACATTATATTTAAATAGCAAAAAGAGACGTCAAATAAACGTCAAAGTCTAAACACGCATTTTAAATTTCCTCACGGATTTTTAAGATTTAAACAGTGTTAAATAGATAAATTCATTCATTGACGAGTTAAAAATACGAAGCCATTCCCACTCAGGTAGCCTACGAGTAAACATTACCGTGCCTTATCGGTAATAATCGATTTCTACCAGTTTACGAACCAGTAATAATTATGTGAAAATTCGAATTATTTTGTGTGTTATGGAAACAGCGATTATTATTGGACTATAATATTATTATATTCAACTGACGGAAAACTGCAGATACAGGTAACTGTTATATTCCTATTATTTTATCCACAGTGTCCTACTAGGACGTCTGTTGCAATATTCAAAATTAAGTGAAGTGTTTTTGGTATCCAGGAACACTCACAAAAATGAACCAAAACCAAAACCTCATAACTCCACAAGTCCACCCCACGAAATCATATGTCGCTGCTACTTTATCTAAACCTTCACCTCCTACTTTCCCACGTAAGGAGCAAGCCATTTTAATGCACGCTATTCGAAATACTGTTTTATTTGACTATGTTAAAGCTATAGGGGACATTGTTATCCCAAAAAATATTACATTTGCATCACGTATCCCAAATAACCGCATCTGTATTTATCTTTTACATATATATATATATATATATTATATATATATATATATATATATATATATATATATATATATATATATATATATTTCGCATATAAAAACACATCAAAATATCTCTATCAACTCTACAGTAGTTCCCATCAGAAGACTTATCACCCCAGCTAAACGCCTTCTTATATTTAACGTATCTCCTTCAATTCCACATTCCATAATTGAGAAAGCCCTTAAAGATATTGGATTACAGCTAGTCTCTCCTGTGTCATTTGTGAAATGTGGTGCACTCGGAGAAGGTTATGCACACATAATGAGCTTCCGAAGAGTAACGTATATTATCCCCGATAAGGAGAACTTTTCAGTAGATAGTAACTTTGCGATTACATACGAAAACACTCCTTATAGAATATTTATTTCTACGGATAAATTGCATTGTTTTTTATGTAAAGAGGTCGGACATACCGCTGACTCATGTACCAATAATCTAACTTTTTTTTCTCAAACTGAACTACCCTATCTAGAGCCCTCTTCATCTGAAACTACTGATATAATTTCTGACGTAAGCACTCCTGTTCAATTAGACCTAACTACCCCAAAGTGCACAGAAACCCCTACTGAAATAGATACTGAAACTATACACCCATCAATTCCACCCACACAAGGACAAAAAAGAGCTATATCACCAGACAGCAATTCTGATATTCCTTCTCTTTTATCTTCAGCAAGTACACCCGAACCAGCGTCTAACCAAAGTCCAGCGTCTAAAAAAAAATTACCGTAATTGAAGGTGCTTTTGATACTATAAGTAGGCAATATTTATTAAACAAACTTATCCTTCTTAATATTAATGGTAATATATTTAACTTTATACGAAATTTTCTATCTTCTAGATTGAACGATTGAGTCTCTGTCAACGGTATTTTATCTTCTACTCATACTCAAACTGATGGCGTACCTCAGGGATCGGTACTAAGTCCTACACTTTTTAATCTAGCAATAAGTGATTTATGCTCTCATCTCATTTCCCCTATTAAACAAATCATGTATGCTGATCATGGACACAAATATTACTGTCATGGACAAAACTCTTTTACCACCTCGAAGCTTATTCAAACTGCTGTTGACACACTTTAAAAAAAAACTAGTGACATGGGATTATCTTTATCCTATGTAAAATCTAAAATTATAAACTTTAGTAGACGTCCCGCTTCTCTATCTCCACTTATTTAGATTAACAATGTCCCTCTTCCTGTTGTTAAACAATGCAAAATTCTCGGAGTAACGTTTGACTCACGACTAACTTGGAAGCAACATATATTTGCAATAAAAGGAGAAACGTGCAAAAGACTTAACATAATAAAAACTCTATCACATCATTATTGGGATCTGACGAAAAACTCACTTCTTAAAATATACAGATCACTAATACGTTCCAAGCTAGATTATGGTACTGGATTATGGTCACACACACACACACACACACACACATATATATATATATATATATATATATATATATATATATATATATATATATATATATCCGCGTCCAAAACATATATTAACCTTCTAAACTCAATTCATAACACAGCCCTTCGCCTTTGTATTGGCGCTTTTCGATCTAGTCCTGTAGATAATCTTTATTGCGAAGCTAACGAACCTCTTCTTTGTATAAGACGAAAACAACTGCTACTCTTTTATGCAGCATCGGTATCAGCTAACCCCTCTAATCCAGTGCATCCCTTATTTTTAATGTCCACGTATAATTTACACAATACCAATTCCTTACCACCAATAAAACCTATTTCACTAATTTTAGCACAAACACTTAATGATATCTCTCTTACACATACCCTTCCTCTTTATCCCCCTATATCTCCGCCTTGGATCATCTCCATGTCCAAATTTAACACCTTGCTCACCAACTTCGATAAAATAAAAATAAAAGAGATCATTATAAATGCATTTAAAGACATTATAAATACAAATAGTTACGACCTAATATTATACACGGATGCCTCAAAAAATGACACAGGAGTAGGCTGCTCTGTTACAACCTCTCATTCACTAATTAAGTCATTACTTATACCATCCGTCAGCAGCGTTCATACTGGTGAATTATTTAGTATATTGCAAGCTTTTAACCATATATATCCACCTACGATGCCATATGCACAGACTCTTTAGCATCAATCCATTCTATCAAAAATATATTTACCGATCATCCAATCGTCCAAAAGATCCTAGACTCTTACCAAATTATCTTATCCCAAAACATAACAGTTACCATAATTTGACTGCCATCTCACATTTGTATAGAAGGCAATGAAACTGCAGATCACTATGCTAAACTTGCTACAGCATCTCCTGAAATCACCGATAAAATTCAAATTTGTAAGGACCTAAAATCATATACTAAAAGAAGAACCAGGCTCATTTCTGGCTGTGCTACATTTCCTTAGAGATGAACACTTTTATCAAAAAATATAATTAGATTTTAATTTAGACATTGTGTAACATATTATTATCATTCCGTATTATTGTAACATATTCTTAATGTAAGACTTATTGTTGGTGTAATGAAAACTCATGTTATAGTACCTGTGTAAGTGACCATAGTAGCCGAGCACGTTAACTTCGAAATAAAAAAAATAGCAAAAAGAAGCCTACCTAATCAGTGCAAATTCGCGTTAACCTTGCGCAGCGACGTCACTCGCAGCTTAGTATTCACATTGCTCTTAATTGTATACATAAGCACTCGTAATTTAGTCATCCTAAATATAGATATTTTGCATATTATTTTACTGTCTTCATACATTTTAAATAAAAACGAATGTTTATAATGTTTTCTTAGTCAAATATATTTAATTTTTATGCGAATTAGAACAAATAAGGTATTAGTATAAAAATATAGCTACTTATTTAGGTACCTACATACTTCCACTTTTTATAAACTTTTAAGAAGGAACAAAATTTTTATATTATACATAATTGGTAAATATATAGTTAAGTTTAAATACTTAAAACAACCGTCACTTACACAAGTCAGATGCCAATTTTGAAAATAAATATTACGATCGCGTTAATATTCTTGCTAAATAACTATATATAAAGCAGTTTTAAAACAATTTGCGTTTAAAAATATAATACTATATACATTATGCAATAGTTTTTTCTATTTTTCTTTTATTAGTACGTGCTAAAATAATTTTTTTATTAAAATCTTTTATACGGAAGTACATACGCGATCGAAAAAATATTTTCTTAGCATCTTGAGGACAATCAATATTAATACTTGCAGATA